AAAATACATTCATACATTCAAAGCCTGAATCCAATATTAAAAATTTCAAAATTTTAAATACTTGAAATACGGCACAAAGCTTGTTCAAGACCTTTCCTCGTAACCAACTGGCCACAAAGGCACAATCTTTTCCACGAAAATCCTCTAACACCGCGTCGCCCATGATAGCTCGCCACGCCAAAGATTTTACATTAAATCGAGGGTGCAGTTCAAATCCCCCACCCCTGAAGCATGGGTATCAAATTCCCCACCCCTGGAAGACTCTGATAATCAAATTCCCTCCTCCCCGGGACGGCAAAGATGTCAAATGCCCGGGGTATGCCCGGGGGGGGGGGGCATGTTGAAGCTTCGATTTGACCCATACTAATGAAGCTCAGCAAAATGCTCTTAAAGCAATCGTCTGAAATTTAGGCTAAAGAGGGGTCAAATTACGCTCGAACATTTGAGCATAATGGCTAATATACATGTATTCTGGAGCTTAAGAGAAGACGTTTTAATTAACTTTCGAGCTTCACTTTCAGGCCGCCGAGTATTTAGCCCGTCTGAAATCGTGCCCGTGAGTAACGCGCTACTACTCACAAAATTTTTCCTACGCTAATTGTCGAAACAGTGTCTGACAGCGTCGACTCTTCTCTATGCCCAAGAAACCACAACCACTCAGCTGCGAAGCGAGTTTTGTTTTGCTGATCGCTTGGTTATTCTAAATGAAGATAGAATACTTTGACAACAGTTTCCCCGAGACCCGGGCCCCGAGATAAATGACCAAATGCCATTCTAAGGTAACGAAACCGTGGAGTTCTAGTAAAACTTCAGCTAATGCAATGCCTACCTCAGTTCCCGAGTAGTCTTGATAGTTCGCTTGATGCCACGACGAAAAAGTCTACGAAGAAATCATATTTTGCAAAACAAGTCAGTATAAAAGTCAATTGCATTTTCCTTCACATAATAACCGGACTTGCACAAAACTTACCTATAAGCAACAATCAACCCTAATTAAATGGGATTTTTCCCTTCCTTTAGCTTTCAGTTTCATTTTGATCTACGTCAACAAAAGTGACGCAAGTGCCTCCAGAAATAGCTCCCGAAATGCAGCCATCCATGAAAAAAAACATATCAGAGGTTAGCCTGAATTTCTGACGATTAAAACTTCGAGTCGTTTTTACTCCCTCAGAGGAGGGAGTAAAAACGAATCGTCTGAAATTCAGGCTAAAGAGGGGTCAAATTAAATCGAATAATTATATACAGTTATTTTGAAATACGCTGTGGCTATATGCTCGGCAGCCGGGAAGGGTCTTTAAAAAAACTAATGTCGGAAGTCAGAAAATTTTCTAGAATTTCTGCAAAATCCCTTTTTCTAATCGTTTGAAAGTATTCCATCTTCATTTAGAATTATCAAGCGAAAATTATCAGGAAAACAAGAATGGCTTCGCAGATGAGCGGTTGTGCTTGCTTGGGCATAGAGGATAATTAATGGCTAGTATGCATGTATTCTGGAGCTTAAGGCCTGGTTCAGACGCCGTACTTTTAATGAGCCGAACCTAATACTTTGAATTAAGTACATGAAAAGTTCGGCGTCTGAATCAATTTGGAACGGCTCACCTGTTCTTTTCGCCTAGCCTGGCCGGGAATTTCGCCTTTGGATCGACTTTGGAACGCCTTTGATTCAGACGCCGGACTTTTCATGTACCGAACCTAATGCATAAATTCTTATAACGTATTTTGTAAGCAGTTTGACCAAAATGTGCATTTTTCGCCTTCTGAATTTAGTTCGGCTGGAATTAAGATCGGCGTCTGAATCAATTTAGCCGGTCTAAATAATTTGGGTCTGCCTTAATTCGAATTAGGTTCGGCTCATGAAAAGTTCGGCGTCTGAACCGGGCCTAAGAGAAGGCATGTTAACTTTCCAGCTCCGCTTTCAGTTCTCCGGGTATTTATAGCCTGTGTACATGTGAAATCGTGCCCGTGAGTCATGCGCTGCTACTCCCGAAATTTTTCCTCCGGCTTTAAGTGTCGAAGCAGCGTCTGACACGCGGGCCCGTCATTTGCATGAATTTTTTGGGGGGACATTTTCCCCTTTGTTTCCTCCCCACCCCCCTCGACCCACCATCGCTTTTCTAATGGTTCGTCCCTTATCAAATAGAGCCAAATAACGTGGGGAAAATTGCAACGTTGTTTACCTCTGGTATCCCCTACACATCTCACCCTGGCACTTTTGGAGATCCTAGGACAATATGGAAGGGAAGGAGCTGTATTTTGCTTTTGCATCAAATCTAAGTGAAAGAAAAATGAAAGAACGTGGGGCAAAATTTACTTCTCGCGAGAGCGCAGTGCTTCGCGGATATCGCTTTGTTTTCAACACCAACTGGAAAGATGATGGTTTTGGTTACGCTAATATCACCCCAGACGAAGGTTCCGCGGTTCATGGCGCTTTAAACATCTGCGAGAAGGGAAGCATGTGTAAAATGGATCACGAGCACATTCATGCAGGCAATCGTTTCCACCGAGTGATCGTTAAAGTGGAAAAGAGAAACGGGGAAGTTGTAGATGCGATTGCGTACGAAGCGAATAAGGAATGTGTCAAAGGTGGGTTGAAGCCAAGCGAAATTTATCTCAATGAAATACTTGAAGGGGGAGATCTTCTTCCAAAGGAGTACGCAGCATACTTACGAAACTTGAAGGGTTAAGAATAAAAGGAGATAAATGAGGACAAAAGGAGAACACAAAAGACTTCGCAGAAAGAACGAAATCAGCAGTTGGGTGCCACACAGACCTTCATTTGGTTGTCACGCAACCTTTCCCGTGCTTGTCACGCGAACATCCTACTACGCAACGACCCCAAAGAACAAAGAAACCAAAAAACAGGGAGTACGCCTGCCTATTTGCCCAGGATGTGCCACATAAGAGTAATACTTTGCATAAATAAAAGACTGATCTCTGAGTGGCAAAGTCTAGAATAGGATGATATGAGAAAAAAAAAATGGATAAATAAGTTGCATTTTTCTTAGTTTTTCCGACATGAAATAAAGTTTATCCCAATTTTCATTGTAAGGAACTCTTTAATACTTAGTATTACACTTTTTGTGTTTACTGTGTTACACCACTGAGGGTAATATTAATATTGTAATCCAGACAACAGCCTTGTGGGAAAGTTTCTGAGGATCCAAATAACAGTTAGGTAGGGCTGGCACTAGTAAGATTTCAAGTTGCTGGGTATATGCAATTTATAGTAGGTGGTGGGGAAGTAAACAATTAGCTAAGAAGATTGGTGGGTTTTCTGTTTTTTTGTTCCTTATAAAAGTAGCCGGTGATCATGCTCATAGTAGGAGGCCATGGCAGAAATCCCTGGCCCCCAGCCCTTGGTGCCAGTCCTGAGTAAGGGCAAGCTTCTTAACAACAATATCCTCATCCTTAAGACTGGTTTCTTTTAAGGCTAGCGGCTGGAAAATCCTGAAGTACTGGACTGATTGCTAAACAATGCACAAGTACACCTTGGCTAGGGATAATAATCAAAATTAATAATAACAATAATATTATAATCACCTGTTGATTAACTTTAATTTAAGTAATATATAAATTATGAGTGTGAAGGCTTCATCGGGGTATCCAAACACCGAGAAACAAATAAAAGCATGAGGCTGAAGGCCGAGTGCTGTTATTGTTTAGAGGTGTCTGAATACCCCGACGAAGCATGAGTTTTTGGTATAGCTTCTTAAATGAGTGGCTGACTATTTTATTATCCATTATTGTTGTTGCAATTAATTTATTAAACAATAGCTATAGAATGTGGTAAGAACCGTTTGGATGGAATGTGTCATTTGAGAATCATCCAACTTAATTTAGTGTTTATCATAATTTATTCAGTTTGTTGTGTGACATCGATGTGTCAAGTTCAAGGTTTCAGACACCCAAAACCTTTGACGAGGAAAAAGAGTGTGTTATCAATTCTGTTCTGAAATCTACAGTTTACAAGAACAAATGAGCATACAGATTTTTCGAGAATGGCAAGACCAAAAAGCGCTCAAGATTTGCACCATTGAGCCAGGTGGACTGTTTAAAGGTGAAGACATTGGTGTGGATGTACAAGAGTTGACTGCAAGCATTGAAATCATGAATGCCATAACTCTAAACTTTGAAAGGCTATCCAAGTTCGTGCAACAGGTTGCAAATAAGTCAGGTGGATGATATCTGCACGTCTCGGATTTACAACCGATTGTCTGTGGCTTTAAACGTTTCCTGGTAGAGGAAAATGGTGAGGGCACATTAGATTCTTTGGCTGTTCATGACAAAAGGTATCATTTCAACTGATTTTCAAAGGTTTTATTTGAGCTTTGCATTTCAACTTTGTGTAACTTGTGTTGTTTCTTCCTATAGCTTTGGGATATTTCGAACTGTGATAATATGTGAATTACATTCTTTAAGAGAAATAGATGTTTGTTGTTTGCATGAGACATTATTTACTTAGAATTAATGTATTCATGTCACATGATTTTTCTAGAATCAGCCAACATTAAATTTTGGATCTTGTATCCAAATCTTTAAAGACTTTCATCTGGTTTTTCATTGGGACTCCAAATGCATCTACGTGATGCAGTATATCCAGGTGTTGACTTGTGGGCATGAAATATGAATTATTATTAATGCGCTTGAGAAGTCGTTATTCCAGATTCAGATTGCATAATTTCTCACTTTCCCCCAAATGTAAGTGAGTTGCCCTCTGATCAAACATGACAAACAAGCTTACTACATGTAACTGGCCAAGGCTATTTTTTGTGGACTGAGAGTCACCACCATTATACTATGATAATTTGATGGCTTCCTTTCCATGATTATAGCTTGCATATGTCAACAACGATGGCCACATCCAATTAAGAATCCAGTACATTTTATACAAAATCCAACACTCCTGAATTTTCAGACCCCTTTCCTGAGGGGTTGACCCTGACTTTGGGATCTTTAGGCAATTGCAGGCAGTCAACAGAAGGCTGGTATGTACTCTGTTGTTATCTTATCTCTCCATACTCTGTAATGCCGTGACTTGGTGGTCCCATTCGATATACACCAACAGTTTGGTCCTTTGATGCTGTTACTAAATCTATTGAGAAAGTTATATTAAGGAGAACAAAATGAAACCATAGTCAAACTAGGGAACAAGAGAGATTACTCTTCCTGTGGATTTTTAAGTGAGGATGTGCCACTGGTACGTCAAAGCCCTTACCCCTTTAAGCCCAATATCCACCTACAAATTCTCCAGACTGATCTCCATAAATATTCTTAAATTCTATACTGATGATGTGCCACCAGTGGAGAATCCAGGCGAGGGGCCAGGGGGGCCCGCCCCCCCCCTTATTTTTAGACCAAACTGAAGTCTGAAAAAAAAAATTGGGGGGAGACCGGACCACCCCCCTCCTTATCTAAGGGTCTGGATGACTGGGTCCCCCCCTCTTATCTCAAGGTCTGGATCTGGCACTGGCCACTACCTCTACTTAGATCTGGGTCGTGAGTTGTGACACATCATCGGTATAACAGAATTTCTATGCTCGTTCCTCAGATATAACTTCGCAAAGAAACTGTAGGTGGCATCCTGAAATGTTGGTTATGTTCTATATGGCTATGCACAATCATGTCTGCTGAGAATTAGAAGTACATTCAAAATGCATATAGCTAAAGATACATTCATCATAAGGTGAAATATCAATGTCCTCCACAGCATCTGAGTGACAGAACAAATCCTCTACAAACTCGTGATGATCAGGAAAATGTTGATATCTGCAAGAACAAAAAATTATGAACAATCTTGATCAAATTCACAGACCAAAAATATATATATAAATTTAAAGTTCATTTTGTACAAATATGCAAATGGCTTTGGAAGCAGAATTAAAGAAACCCACCTCATAATGTGTGTACACTTCAACATTGTTATAGCAACACACAAATTCACAATATTTTCACTGACATTAATAGGGCTGAATTTTTTTGAAGGAAGTGACAGCTACAAAGTAAGATTTGAATTTAATTATTAAAAAAAACAAGTTGTACCTACCTGTAGTCTAACCTCTGTTTATTGATAATTAAGCCTTCAGGGTAAGCACTGATAGTAATATTAACAGATGTTCTGTTTTCAATGATTTACTGATAATTTTTAATAGTAGTCCTGGCTAAAAAGAGGGGTGGCTACATAATAGGAGCTAAGTTTTAGACATTTACCAGTAATTGACATCTGTTGATTTTAATAAGAATAGTTGCAAATTAATATTGTTAATGGCTAGTCAAGAGATCACTAATGCCAATTACCACAGAGTATGACTTACTTGCGAACAGCTCCTCTGTCTCAGGCAGAAAATAGTGTACTCCCATTAGAAGTATACCTGAAAATACAAACTCTTCACGTCAAAAATATTATTTTCATACTTGGTCTTACCAACCAAATGACTTTATAACATCACTTTGACTCTTAATAAAGGAAATTCTTAAATTCATAAAATGTTCTGCATACTTGATTTTCCATAGTGGATCTTTCCCATGTTCTTTCATACGTTCTTGAACCCCAGCTTCTGGAAAAAAACTTGTCAAATTTAACTCCCCTCCAAACATGATGAGACCTAAAGGACATTGCACAACAAGACAGGGAAAAATCATCATTTTTGATTATTTGGAATTGCTATGCAAGAGTCATTTTAATTAGGTCGAAAAAATTTTTCATGAGCAGGATTGATTACAGTTCTTCTGTAATGTGAATTTCCTAAAAGAAGTTCGTTTGCCAATAGGGTAAATTGAGAACAAAATTCACTAGCCTGATAACAATATTAAAATCCACTAGTCCTGGGCTATCGGACACGACTTTCTTTGCACACTGGTAGTTAATACGATGAGTATGTAAGTAAATACTTGTTATACATGCCAGTCGGCCATAAACAGGGATTGGGAAGGAGCACTTTTCACAAAGTGGATCTTGCACTTTTTGCCCAATTGGCAAAATCTGTGAGGAAGACAGGAGGATAAGCTAAACTATTTTGAAACCTAAATGTCTTGTTTGAATAACAAACTGATATGATAACAGAAACGTAAGAGCCTAAGTTATCTCATCTACATGTATGGGGCTAAAATAATAAAAAATTAATAATTTAATTTCAGGGGGCTTCTGTAAATGACCTAATAAATGCCCAAGACATCTAGTTAACTCTAGGGGTCCAAGTGGGGGCGTTTAATAGATAGGAGGCGTTTATTCTCATTACTGTAACAAGCTCAACAAAACTTTCTTTTGGCAAAAATATCAAGAGAGTTTAAAAATAGTGATATATCCACTCCATCAATTGATACGTCTAGGCCGTCTAGAGATCCATATCGCTCTTTTTCAAATCCCAACATCGATGTTAGAATCCACATTTGTTGTTATTGCATAGCCATCATTAGTCTATCCTCATTTTTAACTTAACATTGAACACGATGAAGTATGTATTTACCCTTGTTAATCAAGGAAGAAACTGAATGAATTGAATGATTTTGCATCTTTTTGCTAATTCCTAGTATTTTGGAGTAATTCTCACGGGGAGACGTCTACCTATTCTCGGTTTGCACTGTCACACAATGAAAAATAGAAATGCAAACCATTCAATACATAATGTCTAGAATCTGGGAAATGAAAGAAGATAAATATACAAAACGTCTTGCCAAAAATCAAAACAATTTACCGAAATTTATAAAGCTTTGTATGGAAATGCCATGTTGGAGTCCCTTTCAGGGACACCAATATGGCCGCCGGATACCAACAGAAACATCTGTTTTCAAGTTTTCTTACTAATGTGTGAATTCTTCGCTTGAGGAACTCATAAAGATTAAAGTAATATTTATTCTGAGACAAGGTATGTTTAGATAGCAAATCTCCCAAACTTGGTAATGTTTTTAACCCACATAAGAGCTTTTCTGGCCATCAGCTAAATTAATGCCAAGTCATGCAAAAGTGTGGAAATTCAAGCATCCTCTCTCGCAAAACGAAGAACCCCTTTGAACCAAAAATTTGTTTATGTAAAGGAGTTAGGTGCTGTAATACCTCGTGAAAGTAGCAACTCAGAAGACTCAATAGTTTCTTAGTTTGATTTTTAGTGACGTCACATGCAAACCAAGAATTAGACAGGGGCATCTAATAAAATTTCAACAGCGTTGAGGCGGTGTTTATGTGGAAGTGGACTTCTATTAGGTTAGTTATGGTGAATGATCATGACTTACAAATATAGTGTGTAAAGAAAGTCAAGTCCGATATCCTAAGGCTAGTGGATTTTGCTATCGCGTCGTGCTAGTGAATTTCGTTCTTAACTTGCCCAACGGGCAAGTGCTGTGCTTTGGGGAAATTCAAATTACAGAAGGATTGTAATCAATCCTGCTAATCAAAAAGGGTTATGGGGCTAGCTGAAATGACTTTTGGGCTAGCTAGTAAATTTATGTTTGCTACAGCTCGCTCAAATGGCAGGCTGTAAAACTGACTTTCTTTGCACCCTTCAAATAGGGGCTGAGTGACTGGGGCTGAATGAGCAGAAATGATAAAATTAATAGTACATACTTGATGATCCCACTTGAGTTCTCTCATGACAACCACTTGAGCTGCTGCAGCTGTTCCAGGGGATTTCTGTTTCCTTTTACTTTCCTTATCACCTAATAGATATGACATACACATAAGAATAAAACTTGTTATACATGTAGCTATCACTAAGCGCCAACGAGCAATGATTTTACTTATACGCACACCGTGTTCAATTTGTTTAAAAATGTTATGAATTACCATAATTTACAAGAATGCATAGGTTAGTCATGTGTCCGTCATTTAATGTCATGCAATGCACTCATGCATTATTCTGTGCATGTTTGCTCAGAAACAATGCATTATCTCTTCTGCGTTACACCATAGAAGTTACCTTACACTTCTTTGTTACATCGGTCATGTTGAAACGCAGACCATGCAGACTGCAGACTACAGACTATGCAGACCATGCAGACTGTGCAGACTGAGTGTTTACTTGTACTTTAATTTTCTAGTAAAATTTTTACTATAGTTTCCCGAAGGAGCGAGCACGATGGAGGAAGGTAAGCTGTTTCTCTCTGTAACTGTATTATATTGCCACGATTATTTAAATTTGTTTAGTAGAAGAAGCTTTTTCAGGTTAAGTGATTTAAAATAAAACCCTTTTCGGCTTCCCACAACTGCTACGAGAGAGACATTTCCTCAATTTCCTTGATTGTTGATGATTGTCTTTGGTTTCACTCTGTAATTCAAACCGGTGACTTGCCGTCATTTCTTCAAATCTTACAGATGCTCAGATTTCAAGTTGCTGGATATACCGTACATGTTTAAATGTACAATAAGTAGGCGGGGAAATGAACAGCAACAAATTTCTGTTGCAGGGTTCAAAACAAGTCCCATCCAGTAGTCTTGGTCAGGTGGATTTTCTTGCTGGACAAGTAACTTTTAAGGCTCACTTGCCCAATAAGGGTAAAAACAACTGATCCTCTAATAGAATAATTAACTGAGAAAAGCAAAAGGCGGCCTTAACCAAGCAAAATTTGAGAGCTGCTTGCCGCAAGGACTTCAAAATTTTTCAAGCACTGTATTAGTTCTATATTCTATATTCCATTTTCTTATGAAAGTAGCCAGGGGTCATGCTCATAGTAGCCAAAGGGAATCCACTGTCTCAGGCTCTTATTGACAGAGATGCTCAAGAGTGTGTGTCTCTCAACCAACAACCTTCACACAGCATGCCTCAGGTACCCATTTATGCACCTGGGTGAAGAGACAAAGTGGACTAACGTTTCTTGTCTAAGGAAACAACATGACAGCAAGGCTTAAAACTGGACATACATTGTACAGCATTGAAAGAAAATTGGCTTCTTTACCTTCAGATCCTGTCCTAGACTTTTCTCCACTTTTTTCCTTCCTTTTTCTTGCTTTTCCCAGACGGCAATGAGCTTGCTGACTTGCTCTTTGCTTTCAGTTTTAAAGAAATGTTTCGCCTAACTGGCTCTGAGGTGGACCCTGGAGCTGCTCCTTCATGCTCCAATTCAAGATCTACCAAAACAACATAGAAAACTAAAACGTTAGTCTCACCTTGGTATGATGTATAGCTAGATTTAAGATACATCATAAACGATAACAAGATATGCTGAACAAAAAATTAACAAAGTAAACGGAGCCAGATCATTTTAAAAGACCACTGCAAAAGTACAATATTAGTACAAACTAAACGTAGGTAAACCTATAAACCTCATCTAATTATAAGAAAACAAAAACAGCTGCCACAAGTAAACTGGTCGGCATCAAGAAGTGTGAAATTCACATGCACAAGGAGTGGCCTATAAAGGGTATCATGATCTCAATGGAAACTGACCTAAAAATTGTAATCAACAACTAAAAGAAATACATTTCATACTGTTAGAATTTTCAGAAAATTCGTGGACTAAAAATGACATTTACAAAGGAAAATGGTACATTTTTCATGGTCATTATATGAGAGCAATGGCAGAAATTCTCCTGAAACCAAGTATAAATTGAACTAACCCTTAAAAGACAGGTAATACTAGTGAGATTAGTTGAAATCAAGAGAATAAGTCATCGACATACCGCTACAAACCAGACCAATCAATCACGAAAAAGCTGAAAATCAACGCCGCAGACGTTTCATTTTCGTGAAATAAATATGAACAAAGACTTAATAACATAAAGGAAACATTTTTTTACACTGAATAGAGACAAATT